GTTGACATTTAATGACAAAGGTTTCCAGGTGTTTTGTAAACTTCAAATGGCATCTTTTCTGTCTCAGTTACTAACTAAAGAAGCCCACGATCTTGAATTTTTCTTCAGAGTTTTAAAAAATAAACTCTATTGGGGAATATCCTATTTTGAAAAAGTATTGCTGAAGTGAAACCATGAAGTTATCTGTGTAGACAAACTGATTCATGGCATCTATACCCAGGGGGGAACGTTTTGCATACCAAGGCTCCTACAGAGTGTTGTCTTAGCTCCAGGGCCTGAAAAGTCTGCTTCAGTTCATTCATCTCAGTCTTGGCAGAATGGGATACATTAGCATTCTGCGATCTGCTGTGGCAGCACTCTGCTCTGGACACCATCACAAAGGGAGCCGTCTGTCAGTGAAGGGAAGCCGTCCTGCATCCCTGCCTTGCTGTGCTCTCAGTTAATGTGCTGTCAGACCCGATTGTAGCAGACTGGTGACTGCTCTGACATGGTTTCTCAGTGAGTTCTCAGGTGATCGAGGAGCCTGGTTACGTTGACACACCTGTCACATCTGCAACAGCAGTTGGGCCTTGCCTTTCCCCAGTTGGAAACAACCAGCAAGTAGGTCAACCATGATGACAGCAGAATTCACTTCACTTATTAGAGTTTTCCTTAACCTCTTCATTGTATTGGGCATGAAGACAAGAATTAAGTGGGAAAGAGCAAGTTCCCCTCCAGTGTATGGACCTACATATCTTCACAGTTCTTGATGAAATAAGCTGAATTTGCTGCCAGACTTTCAATCTGTGTTCCCATATCAGTGTTGAGCGAAGTCAGATCATTTGGGATTTGATGTCAGCTATATGCTCTGGCATGGGGACAATTGAATCTCAAAGCTGGAAAAGTCTCAAATGTTCTCAATGGTTATTCACTTTGTGTTAATGCTCTGTTCTAAACAATTTTTTAAAGAACTATTTCCAGAAATGCTTCCGTTCAATATTTGCTTCAAATGTAATTTATTATTAATGATTCACATTTTGGGGGAGTTGCCTTGGCATTGCATATAAAATGCTGAAGGTTTGGGGAAAGAATTTTAATTTCTTTTTTAAAATTTAAAAACATTTTCCCCACCACAATCCCATGTGTCCCCTTGTTCCTCTCCTTCCTACTTCACTGAGAGCCCTCAGGATATTTATCAATGTTCACTGGTTTTAGAAAGTGTTTCATGTTGTTGAATTATCTGTTATATGAATGTCCAAGATTTGTTTATATTTTAAGATTTTTTAAAAATTTATTTGTGCATACAAGAACTGGAGTATAGGCCAAGGGTGCAGGGGGTTGAGAGGATTCACCAGAGACAGAGTGTGGAGCAGACCAGGCAGAAATACACTGAAATACACTGCTGAGGGGAGCAGCAGGTAAGACAGGAGAGGTCTGCTGTGCCATGTGGGTGACTCCCTGGTGGGGCATGGAACTCATGCTTCAGTGACTGCTGATAGCTTGATAGCACTGAGACTTTAACTCCTGCACCACCAGGGGGACCCCCAAATTTGTTTTTATTGTTCTGACATACTTTGCTGCACATATTTCTCTCAAGTTTCCTCCATTTTGTTGAAAATGACGGCAGTTCATTCTTTTCTATGGCTGCATAATATTCCAGTATGGACATACCACATCTTCCTGATCTAATCATCTGTTGGTGGACATTTAGGCTGCATCTATGCCCTAGCTATTGTAAATAATGCTGCAGTGAACATTGGGGTTTTTGTGTTGATGATCTCGTGTTCTTTGACTATATGCCCCCAAGTGGGAACATTCCACTCTTGAGCATTTTTATTTCTCAGGATGTTGTCCCTAATTTGTTGAGGGCCTTGTCCACACATATAAAGGAGAGAGTCAAATTAAAGAATCTTCAGAGCACATAATGGTACTTTTTAGGAGCCTCACTTAACATACCTGATACATAAAAAATCTTTCTCATGAAACATAAATCATTCTTTAAATACAAACCATCATCACACTCTTAGAAATAATGAGCTTCTATTATGTACTCAACTAAAATATTTTTTCAGTTTTAGGACTTCATTTATTTCTAAAATGAAATAATACTTTTTTTTTTTTTTAAAGAAATGTTTACAGACTTTATTTGCCTGGTGGTACTTTACATCTAGACAATCAGCAGTCAGTTTTGGTTCATCCCTTGACCATTAGCCCTCCCCACATGGTCCATGTTTCCATAGGCTGGGGAACATGCCTTTAACCTCTTGGTACTTTGGCAAACCTACAAGACCCTTATTGATGGAGGGTAACATTCAATCTCTCCTTCTGGTGTCCCTATGTGTGTTGCCAGGTACATCTACTACCAGTTCTGGAGCCAGGGGATTTACCTGCTGATGGAGTCACATGGTAGATCTTTAAATCTTATGCATTTCAGTACTGAGCACACTGAATATTTAATGCCAGACAAAAATCAATTTTGTGTGCTTTAAAACCTCCACTTAGTTTATATCCCATTAAGCATGAGCCATTCCTCTACTAATTGCATAATTCCTGAACTATTTTTTCCCCCCCAAGATGGGTAGCTTCAATAATCTGCTTATTTTGGTTACAAACCAGAGTTGAGAGTACCTCTTACATAGTACTTGGCCTTACTTCTAAGAAATGTTTTGCTCAAACAAATGAAATAATTTAATAAAGTGCTTGGGAATTTTGCTCTGATTTTATGTATCAGGCAATCTCATCTGCTCCTGTCCCTGCAGTTTGGATGCTGTTTTTGATAAATACCAAAAAAGCTGACCAAACTCATTTCTAAGCTTTCACATTTTGCATAGTTTATAGAACAGCTGATAAAACTGCTAAGGGAGTTTTGGTCATTCATGGATAAAAATGGATCACATTTTTCATCCACTACAGAACCGTTATGGTTTCTGTGAACTTCAGTGCACTGATTTCTTTGACTGGTACATATGTCTCCTTGTCTTAAAGAAAGTTGAAGCCTTTAGGGGTTTCTCTGCTGAAAATTATGCTTTTTATAACTTGCAATAGCACTATAAAAATAAGCATGACTTCACATAGTGTTTCTCTCCACTCTTTGTTTTCCATTAGGTAATCATATCTTACTTTTATCCAATTCTTTCCCTATGACTTTGAACCATTGTGTTTAGAGGCCACATCTTCTAAGTGATTTTCAAATAAAAAAGCAATACCTGCTCCACAGACCACGTGGAGCAATTGGCAGCCATCTTGAGAATGCAAGTTCTTCTTCCTCCCCCAGGCTCCCCCCTCAGCCCCTCCCCTAGACCTGCCTGGGAATTGCTGAGGACCTTATGGTGCACTCACTTCTCTTGCTCCCTTTAGTATTTTTTTACACAAAGGCATAATATATACACTGACTTGGCACGTTGCTCTTTACACTTAAAATATAGTTCTATTTTCAAGTTAACATTTATAAAAACCCCATGCATTATTTTTTTGTGGCTCACTCATATTTCATTACCTGACTGCACAAGGCTTATTCAACAGTTTCTTAGTGGATGGACATTCAGGATGCTTTTGCTCTTTTAGAGCATACTGCAATAAATACCTTTGCACATACCATAATTCTGGGTATAAGGGTATTAATGAATCTAACAGACCTTAGTTGTCAAATAATGAGAAACAGTCACTTAGATAATGCCTGTCCCCATGACTGTGATGAATATTTATTACCTTCCCAAGCTGAGTGGCCCTATACTCTAAATTTACTAGAGTAGTTCGTATTATCAATTTATATTGTAACAGATTATAATCTATTATCTCTGGTTGTTGCCATTTTTTTGAGACTAGATTCCTGAAGTTTGGACAAGTTCCATGGTGTCTAGATCTTTGAAATGTCAAGGGTCCCTCCTTGTTTTGCACCAACCATCATTTCTGGACTTTACTCAAGTCATCCCTGTTCTGTGCACTCTGGATGACTCCTGATTCCATTTGAGAAAGATAATGAAATTATCCTCAAAACTGGGCATGATTCTCTACAAGTTTGTGTGGAAGTCTATGTAAATTTTTTTTTAAAGATTTATTTATTTATTTATTTATTTATTTATGCAAGCACTGGGTACAGTCAGAAGTGCAGGAGGGTGAGAGAATTCACCAGAGCCAGAGCAGGTAGCAGAGCAGGCAGAAGGACAGAAGTACACTGCTGAGGGGAGCAGCGGGCGGCAGGAGAGGTCTGTGCGCCATGTAGGACCCTCCTCCGGTGGCCAGGGAGCAGTCGGGGATTGAACTGGCGCCGCAGAGGCTGCGGGCAGCTTCGCAACCCAGCGCTCAACCACTGCGCCACCGGGAAGGCCCCAATGTAAATTTTTATTGGTATTTTATAGGTGTACATTTGTAGGATATTTTAACCTATGATAATGCTTTTGGTGATTTTTTCTTTTTCCTTTTAAAAGATAATTATGGCATGACTTTTACACCTGTCATCTGTTTTGCTACTCTGTAGGAGTAGTCTTTTGGTAGTCTTTTGAACACTAACCAGAGCTGTGTTAAGCAAGCTTAAGATGCAGATCATATTGCAGTGTTATGAGTTCCCCTGTATTTTCATGTTCCTTGTGCTTCAGTCAACAAAACAAACACTTCATCACCCCCTTCCCTGGGAGTCTGTGCATTTTACACATGATGGATCTGAGATAGGCTGTGGGCTTGTCATTTAATTCATGTGTCATTAAAACAGTTAAACACTAACATTAAACAATGTGCTATCGCTGTGTTTGTTTCTTTCCATCCTTCTTTGTGGGTTAAACTGTTGGTTATAGTTACAGGGACCGTGACGTCTAATTTCAGGTATCACTGAGTTCTAATGTGATTTTGTTGAAGATGCCACATAAAAAATGCCCATGATTTTTACGAAAACAGTGCTACATCAATACCGAATAATGCAGCTAGCTCATAATTGATACCATCATGTCTAGGTAAAATATTAAATCTTAAAAAAAAATCAAGAACAATTTAGTTAACTTGCAAAAGTAAGTTTATTGAAGCATAGAAACAATTAGAGCAAAGTTGTCATTTCAACTTTTTAAAGAGCATTCTAATAAGAAAAGAGAAGGATGCAGAAAAATTGGTTAGTTATCAATTTCTAGATGGACATTTTCTTCTGAAGTTATCCAAAAAGATGATCAGATCAATGAGGCTTCCTCATTTGTGTCCTTTAGATATTTTTTCTCTGAAAGACACCCTGGTTGATCTGGAAACCGGAAATCACTTATTTATATTTCACCTCAGAAATATTGCTGACTTGAGATGAGACGACTTTGCCGTCCACCATCTCCTCTACGATGGTCTTGGTCACTCTAGTCTTGCCTTGATCTGAAAATAGTAGAATCAGATTGTCAGTTTGGGAAAGACCCCAGAAACCCCGATGGAGAGGCATTCAAAGGCATTCATTTAAGGTGTTCTCTCAGGGTAAGATTACTTAAACAATACACACTTTGAATATGACAAGCAAGACGTGCCTTTCCTTTTAAATTATAAAATTATCATGACTATTAAGAAAATGCCTACCCCTTGATTGGCCAGAGCTTCCAGATATCGAACCCCTGGATCCGGTGTTTCTGCCTCCTCCCGTCTGTCTGGATCCCGAGCTTCTAAAATCAAAGCCCCCCACATCAGAACTACTGGGAGAAAAAGGAACTGTTTACCCTTCGCATTTTGCAACTGGCAGAAGCCTCGGGGTGGGTGGGGGTGGGGCTTTTCAGGAGGGAGTCTTGTGATTGGAAGGTGTCACTGTCGCTATAACTACAAGTCCCACCCCCAGCCCCTTTGGGTCCAGAACGTAAATGCACCAAGATCAGCATTTTGGCTCGCTCAGGCCTTTCGCTTACCCTCCTCCCTCGCCGTCGAGCAGGCGGCGGTAGGTCTCGATCTCCATTTCCAGGCGGGTCTTGATGTTCAGCAGCTGCTCATACTCGGAGTTCTGGCACTCCATCTCGCCCCGGATCTGGCAGATCTGGCCCTCCAGGCTGCTGATCTTCATCTGAATGTCTGACAGCTGAACCATGTAGCCGCATTCCGTGTCGGACAGGGTCCCCTCCAGGGAGCTTTTCTAAGAAAAAAACAAAAAATTCTATGATGAAATCAAGCCATTAGATAATTAAAAAACACATTTTTTAAGGCACCAGAAACACACCTTCATCAAGTTGCTATATTGTTATATCACTGTTTCCTTAATTTCTGTTGGTATTACTTTTTTTTTTTTAAATCAAGGTAATGTTCATTTCTAATAGTGTAAGTTTCAGGTGTGCAGTTTTACATTTTGACGTCTGAATAAATCACATTATGATCACTGCTGAAGTCTGGGCCCCGCCCAGGGTAGAGTGGGCCCCTTTCCCCATATTCCCCACTCCCTGCCATCCCTGCCCCTGGCATTACTTTTAAAAACAGAATCTTTCATGAGAATATTCCAATTATCTCTAACTGGAATGTTACAGCTTTCTATAACCACAATACAGGCCTCCTTAAAATTGCTTTCATTATGTGCCAAGTGGCACATCTTGGCAAAGAAAGAAATTGGAATTGCTTAACTCCCTATTGGAGATTTTGAAAAGCGATGGCACGTACCATGGCCAGTTGGGACTGGAGCTCGATTTCCAGGGCTTGCATGGTGCGTTTCAGCTCTGTTATCTCACTCTTGGCGGAGTTGGCTGCCCCAGCATCGGTGGAGATCTGTGCTTGCAGGGATGCACTCTAAAGAAAACACAATGCAGTTATTGTAGGCTGATGAAATGTGTGCAAGTGGCTGTGTGTGGCCGCAGGCTCGGAAGCTCCGCTGTGATGCTGTACCTGCTTGTTAAACTGCTCCTCGGCCTCCCTGCGGTTTTGCTCAGCCAGCTCCTCGTACTGCGCCCTCATGTCATTCAGCAACTTGGTCAGGTCAGTTCCTGGGGCAGCATTCATTTCCACGGTCACGTCTCCTCCAGAGGAGCCTCCTTGCATACTTTTCATTTCCTGGAGCGAAGAGAAAACACCATAGTGATGAAAATGTAAAAGCAATAGTTTCTAAAATGTGCATACACAGTAAAAAGTTGAACCCAGGTCATCGGGAACCTCCTTTCCCCCACCAGCAAAATCAGATATAATTTGCTCATTGCTACTTTTTCCAGGTCATAGGAGAGAGATGGAAATCCATTCAGATAGAATTTGTTTTTATAGCACTGGGGAAGGAGTAGGTCAGAGCTGTTTAATAGCATGGGGGTGCTCTCACCTCCTCGTGGTTCTTCTTCAGGTAGGCCAGCTCCTCGGTGAGGCTCTCGATCTGCATCTCCAGGTCGGATCGAGTCATGGTCAGGTCATCCAGGATCTTCCGCAGGCCGTTGGTGTCAGCCTCCACCGACTGCCGGAGATACAGCTCGTTCTCATACCTGGCGTGGGCAGCAGTAAGACATGAGCATACATTTCAATAGAAGACGGTGGATTCCTACATATTCAAGTTCTCTCCTCTAAGCATTTGATATTTGAAGGCTACTAAGTTTTCTCTTAGGAGTTATTCCCCTGTAAAGGAAAATATGAACCTATTGTTAATTCTATGGACAGACAATATCTTTTATAACCAAAATATCACCCTTAATTTGCTTCTCTCTTTTCTTGCTGTGGAATGGTTTTAAAGTTTGTCTTTGGGATGTTTGTGAATTTAGGTTGTGCTCCACTAAAGAATAAATTAAGAAGTGGATCGAATTTTATTTTTCCTGCAATGTTTATCTTCAAGGTTTCACTGTTCTTACTTCAGTCTGAAGTCATCAGCAGCCAGTCTGGCATTGTCAATCTGCAGAACGATCCCAGCATTTTCAATCGTGGCTGTGATGATCTAGGAAAGACAGTAACAGTGAGTGAATCATGGATGCCTTTTACCTGATATCTGTGTGCCCACCTGTGAGGGTAGATGGTCCCCTGTGTTACCTTTCAAAGGTGAACTGCTTTGAAAATTTGCTTAGTTATACTGATAATCCTGGTGTATTTGGGTTACATCCTTCTGCTAGTTAACAATTTGCACATTTATTGGAATAGGCACCCAACATGGTTATAAGGAACACAGACCTTTGCATCTTCTGTTGCTTAGAAGGTCAGTTATTCTATGAGCTCCTTCATAGTGTGAAACATGAATTTCACTTGCAAATAAGTCTTTAAAATTATGTATTTCCCATAGAAGATGGCTAAATATTTAGATTCCAGCACATTCTCATACAATATTGACACCAAATTTTCTTGGAAGAAAAAGAGTTGTAAAGGCTGTTTAAATGTGGCAAGATACTAAAATATGTCAACCTAACAATTAAATGAAACAATTAGATTAAGTTAGTGTGGACTCATTCTTATATATCCACATTAATATGTTGACTGGCATTGGGTAAATTTTACTGTGAAGTAGAAGTATTCATCTTTAGATGCAAACAGAAAATTAATGTGGTTGGATGTCACATACAAGGCTATCAGTTAGAACACACCAAGTTTCATTTTACATGTACAACGAGCAGATATGTTTTCAAATACTTCCTAGATTTAAATTCTTCATTATGGTACACGATCTGAATAAAAGCAAAAGATACAGAAAAAGTAGAAATTCAGCATTGCATTGTTCTCACCTGATTCCTGAGATCTTCAATTATTGGGTAGTATTTGCTGTAATCTCTTCCAGAGCCAGTGTCTCCAGACCCAGACCCATTTTTCTCATACCATTCCTTGATTTTGACCTCTAGATCAGTGTTGGCCTCCTCCAGGGCTCTGACCTTGTCTAGGTAATTGGCCAGGCGATCATTGAGGTTCTGCATGGTTTGCTTTTCACCTCCGGAGAAAAGCCCTCCATCGCCACCACCTCCACCCATGCCGCCACCCATTCCGCCACCCATTCCACCACCATAGCTGTAGAAGCCTCCACCAGCACCTCCACCGAATCCAGATCCCCCACTGAATCCAGAACCCCCGCCGAATCCAGAACCCCCACCAAAGCCAGACCCAGAGCCTGACGCTCCTCCATATCCGCCTCCGCTTGAGAAGCTACCACAAGCCCCTCCGAAGCCTCCGCTGGACCCCCCACTCATGCCGTAGCTGCTGGAGCCTCCTCGCAAGCCCCGGCTAGAGCCGCCCCCAAGACCGCATTTGCTTCCACCGCTGAAGCCGCTTCCACAGGTGGAGCCCCTGATGGAGCCGCTGCCTCCAGCCCTGGAGGACATGCGAGCGGTGCAAGACATGATGCTCCTGCAGATGTGTAGCTTGTCCAGTGAGTGAGAGAAGTGATAGAGAGGAGCGTGTTTGCAGGCTGCCTTTTTGGCCCTTATATACACACTTTTAGGGTGTTCCTGTTCTGTGTCACTTCTTAATCCCTGTTAAATTTTGCTAATCCCCAATTGGATAATTTTTTTTTTTTATAAACCCACTCTACTGGCTGTTTTTTCTGAAGCTGGGTCAGAGCCCCAGGGCATTTAGTATATCAAGAAAAAAAAAAAATAAGGTGGAGCAAGCAAAAAAAAATTTTTTTTTCCAAAGTACATTTTTAATCTTTCAGAAGTTTTGATGACTGATAATTCTTTTCTGAAAGAGTAATTCTATTAATTTGCTTTATGATTTCCCAATTGTCAGGCACTTCCCAGATTTAAAAATGTAATTAAAATGCTTTATATGATGAGAATGGAAATTTCCCATCAGACTTGCAAATTTATACTCATATTGCTCTTTTACAGTTGAAATGAGATTTAGCATTAGTGTAATTTCAGATTTACATAGTTGTCCTCTGCAATGATTTCTATCAGCATGTTTTTAAGGTTGTTGAAGTTTGTAATGTTAGATGATCACTTTATTTGTATTTTGAGACAAATTAGATATTTTTAGCATTACTAAGAAAAACTGAAGTAATAAATAATAACCTTTCATCTATGTGTTATTAGATCTCAGCAACACCTTTATTTGAACAGAAAAATGATTCAGAAACAGAGAAGTTTTTAGCTAGATCATTTTAGTATCAGATTGGAGTTAATTTTTTTTTGATTGCATCTGAGACGGATATAATGATAACTTCTTTCTTTAGAATCAGAGCTTAAGAAACTAAGAGATGATGTTGATTTTGCCTCTCTCAGTTTTAAAGTTATCTAGGCAAGAGGATTTGAATCCCCTTCTGACAACCACTATGCTTGGAGTTGTTTTGCAGATACAGAGAGCTGGGGTTTCCTAGTCTATTCTCTGAGGATCTGTCCACTCTCAATGCTGTAATGATTGCGGTTGTTTTATAGACAATGAAATCTAAAATCCTCCCCAGTTCAGTTTCTGCTTCCTGTTTCTCTGCCTATTTGTACTTCAGATTAATTCCACTTACCCTGTTAAGAATTTCTCTGATTTAAAAGTGTTGTTTTAAAAAGACAGATATGTATGATTCCACGTGTATGAGGCACCTAGTGTAGTAGACACATTCAGAGACAGAAAGTAGAATAGTGACTGTCAAAGACTGGGGAAGAGCAAAGGTAGAATAGTTTAATGGGCATAGTTTAGTTTTACAAAATTATGAGTGTGGGAGTTTGGTTGCACAAAGATGTAAATGCACCTACACTATTGAACTGTAGATTAAAAAATGGTTAAGATGCTAAACTTTATGTTCTATGCATTTTACCACAATTAAAAAAATCTTTTTTTCCAAAAGTACAGATACTTCCAAAAATATTTCTTGGTATCCTTAGTTTTATGTACTGGTAGCTGACTTTTGTTTATTAAAAACTTTCTTTCTTCAGCTATTCTTCATTTATTGGAAGAATTAACATTGTCTAAATGGCCATCTTACCCAAAGCAATTTACAGATTGAATGCAATCCTATCAAAATTTCAATGGCATTCTTCAGAGATATAAAACAAACATTAATGAAATTCATATGGAACCCCAAATTTTAATTCAAGAGACCCCCCCAAAAGTCAAAGCAATCCTGACAAGAGGAAAATGGTGGCATCACAGTCCCTGATCTCAAATTATATTACAAAGCTATAATAACCAAAACCATACAGTACTGGAACAAAAGAGACACACAGATCAATGGAATGGAATTAAGAGTCCAGAAGTAAACCCACATGGGCCTCCCCTGGTGGCTCAGTGGTTGAGCGCTGGGTTGCAAGGCTACCCGCAGCCTCTGCAGTGCCAGTTTGATCCCCGGCCACCAGCAAGGGTCCCACAAAAAAAAAATTACAGAAATAAACCCACATCAATGTGACATATTCAATTTTTCCTTTAATCTGTTAATGCTTGTTTGTGTTCCTATCTGATCCATAACCTTGAGATAACCGATAGATGAGAAATAATTTAAACCATAAAGAAAACCTTGAGATAAAACCCCCTTTCTTTTGTATCTTGCTGTTTCTGTTAAATTATAAGTATACTTTTATCTTTACATTTGATTGTTGTTATCTAACATTCTAACTTGTAATTTTTCCTTAGACTACCTTTGAAACACATTATTAAAGAGGTGACTCTTCCCTTTACTGTGTTGCTCTTTATGTTATTAGCTTTCATGTTCTGCCTGCATTGTTTTCACAGAGCAGTGTTTTCACAGTAACACGGTGGTGTTCTTTATATTTAGGATGCCAGCTCTCCAAGGGATGCAAGGTGACTTATAACTTTAAATTGTCTCATTACACCCTTCTAAGCTAGGTAAAAAAATGCACTAGCCATTATAGATGTTGGTCATTTTCCTCACCCTCCCCAAAGCCATGAAACTGGAGAAGCTCTAAACACTAATGATTAAATAGTGTGCAAGTACGGGAGATGGGAAGAACAATCTTTGGGCTTTCCCTCCCCAATTATGGAATGTAATCTTTCCACTTTCATAAGGGCGAGCATTTGACTAATCGAAGGTTTGCAGCAAGGAACAATAGTTGGGCAAAAGAAATCAGATGAAACAGAAATTTCAGAGCCTAGATAGAAAGAGTTTTATGGGGAAAGAAAAGACAAAATTCAGGAGTATCTTTGGTCTCTGAATATTGTTTGGGGTTGGTGGAGTTTTTCTCTTTCATTTGGTGGTTTCCTTTACCTCGTGTTGGGAGATTATTTTTTTTTATCTCATGTGGGATATCTGGACATTTGGGTCTCACTTGAGGAAGCCTGTGGTGACTGAGGTATTCTATCTTGTTTTTAATTTTTTTATAATCTTTCTTGTTGATATAAATTTTAATGCTGACATTCTTTGTTTTTTAAATTCAGAGATGCAGAAAGAGCATTAAGAGAGAATTTGTAATGTTTCTCTGATAGTCTGTACTCCAGAAGGCACTAATGAATAACTCAGCCTTTACTGCCTCAAATTTCTTGGCTTAGTGAGTAAATGTGTGTAAATAATAATAGCAATCATAAAAGTAATAAATAAATGTTTTCTTCTCTGCTAGTATTTCCTTACATGCAGCTGCAGACTTTGTTTCTGCGTGCATCTGTTGAACCGATTAATCTTGACTCTGTGATTTGCACACCATCTAGAAATTTGGTGTCTAGTGGATTAAAGGATTTTAATCACACATATAAATACAACTTTGTGCTGAAGTGTGAGACTTCTTGAGTAAACATTCGCTCTGATTGTTTTGAGACATCCCCCACTTGAATACGCTCTTTATTTGAAATAAAGACTTGCCCAGGACGAAAATTAATCCTCAACATTTCTCTCATCTCTACAATGAAAGCTTCAAGGATCTGGTCGGGAGACAATATGTTCAGAAGTGCCACTTTCAGTACCTGGCACCCAGTCAGATGTTCGATAGACAGTGGTTGAAAAGAAACAGCCTGAACCCCAGATGTCCTGGCTCCCCTTACCAGACTCTGCTCTCAGTTACACATTGTTTTGAATAATTTGTTGTTTACAGTTAAATTTTTTTTTTTACTGTAAAGATCACATACACTACATTTCATTATAGAATGTGACTTTTATAATAAGTGCAGAATAACTTGCCAAAAACAAGCATCAGCATTTTCACGAGATAACTTACTTGCATTTCAAATGAGTGCACATTTTTAGATTAGTAAGAAAGCCAAACAGTGGAAGGTTTGGCATATTGCTCCTAATGAATCTTTAAAGTCGAGAATAGAATGAACTGGGGGGAAGTATCTTCTGTTTGTGCTAGAGATATATCCTGTTATGTGTTTTTCAAATAAAAACATAAGATCAGAACAACTAAGAGAAAGGTGTGGGGTACTGTGAAGGGGTGCAGAACTTTCTGTGGCAAACTATACAGAGAAAGGAGAAGCTCCAGTCAGAGGGGCACACAGCCTCTTTGTGACTCCATACCTTTTGTGGATAAGCAATAAATATTCCTTGAAGGGATAAAAACCAACACTGCTTGACTTGTTTCATGAACGGCCTGGCTCACCAATCACTTCTGCCCTTTACTCTGTCCTCTAAGTTCCATTCTCCACCTTTTGTGATTCTCATTGTGTGTGTGTGTGTGTGCATGCATGAGCACATGCACCAGGAAGCCTGTTGGTGAGAGGAGCTGTAGTTTGGGAATGAGACAGAGAAACCCCAGGGATCTCTCCTTATAAGGCCCAGGGGGTAGTCAGGCTCAAGTACTTGGAAGAAAAACGATTTTGCAACAGAGTGTCCTGAGAGGCTGTTCTCAGTGGTCTAGTACAGTCCGTAGACTGATAACACTGCTATTGTCAGACTGCAAAGGAGCTACAAACCACCTACCAAATAGAGCAGAAACCCCTCAGTTCTGCCTCTCTTCCCCAATACCCTTTTCTATTCTTTTTCTTAATAGTTTCAATTGAGCTGTACCCATTAGATCATATCATTTTGCCAAATTTTGTTCTGGCAGAAAGTGATTTTACTTTGTATTTGTTGAGTTTGAATGATCTAGAATCTCTTTAAACAACTCATTTTTATAATTTTCCTGAACATCTGTCAGTTTATGGAGAATTATGGGCAAGGGACTTTGTAGGGGCGGAGTTGCTTCTCTCCCACAAGGTCTCCTGAGTGAGCACAGAGCTTATTGATTATTTTTGCCTGCAGGTCTTTTGGGACCTTACTTCTTAGCAGACAGAAACAGCCCCTGTGAGCAGCAAGGCCCAGCCTTCTGCGTCTCCTGCCATTGCTAAGTCAACCCGCTGGGCATCTGTCCTCTCCTCTCTGAACTGACCCCTCAACCTCCTCTGGCCTTTGATCCCAGAAAGTCTATAAACCTTCAGTCAAGGAATTCCAGTGGTAAAATAATAGTTTCATAGGAAATGCGTGGGG